CCCCAAGAAATAAATAAAATAAAATAAACTAAATAATTAAATAATTAAATAAAATACTAAAACATTTAGTCCTGGCGTTATGTGTTTTAGTCCTAGTGTTATGTGATTTTTCGAAGTTTAAAACTTTTCAATTTAGTTTCTTACGTTTTTAATATTTTTTAGTTTTACTATTTTGATTCGTGATCGTTAAAATTGGTTGGTGATGAACGACTCAAGTCCGTCAATCCAAATTTAGAGGAGAAATTAAGCCTCTAAGAGAGAACTTTTTAATTCTTCTGCAAATTTTTTAAGAAATTGGCAAAAAATTTCGACATTTCTTCTATTAATTGTTTTTCTTCACCTAAGTATTATGTGGTATTAGCTTATTATCATCAATCAATTTTAATATTCACTAGCGAAAAGTGAAACCAGTGTAAAAAATTTAAAAATGGTTAAAAACATAAGAGATTACCTTGAAACTTCTAAAGGGAATAAATTGAAAAAACGTCTCCGCCCACCTTGAGGACCAAACACATTTTTCACTTCAAATGAAGGGTAAAAATACGAGAATAGTGTGTGCGATAGAGACGACAAATTTTTCAATACTACGAAAAATAAATACTCCATTTGTTCTCAATTTCCACTATGGTTGTGTTTTACCTTTATAAATAATTCTTTAACGTAGATGGACTCCGTATCTTTTTTTTTTTTAATACAACATGTGGGGGTGGGGATCAAACTCCTCACAACCTCTGGATTGGAGATATCAAGATATTATCTTACGCTATCAAGGAGAATTACCAGAAATTTTTCCGAGAGAGTGGACCAAAAGGTTAAGTTGTCAAATGGTGACAAAAGCTAACAATTTTTTCCCCCACAAATTATCTATATAAGAATATAACTTAAAAATGGAAATGGGCAATACAATATTGTGAAATGATATTATTATATTGTGCAGGGGATCTAGGGTTTTGAAAGCCAGAAGCTTGGGTAGGCCTGCCTTTTTGGATTGAAAGCTCAGTTTGTTTCACTTTTTGGAATATAAAAAAAATTAAACAAAAAAAAAAATCATTATTGTAGATTTGAAAGTGAAAATTTGGCCACCATTTTTTTTGGTTTTTTTTTTATTTTTAGGCAATTAACTATCTTTTAAAATTTTGTTTTCCCTTGCTATTTTACTTTTAATTTGTTTTCAGGCATCAAATTTATTTTTTAAAAACAATTTAAGCTACTTTTGTTATTGAAAATTATGGACTTAGTGGTTTTCAAATCCACAACAGCGGTTTCCTTTTACAAGTCATCTAAGATGTCTCTTAAAAAGTAGTGTTGAAAATAAAAGCGAATGCAAACAACTCTAAACCAGGTGCTCGTTTTTGTTTTAAATTTGTGAGTATATGGTCTAAAAAATGCTTTCAAAAAAAAAAAAGGTTGTCAACCGATACGAAGAACAGAAAACAAAATACGAAAAATTGTTACCAACAAGATGTAAACATTGGGCATAAAAGTAGTACTTTGAACAAGAATCCATTTACGGATCCAATTTGCTATAAAAGTAGATGAAGAAACTTTCTATTTATAACCCACAAAAAATAGGGGTTTTTTATGGTAGGCATTATGAATTATATCAATTTCTAGAGACAAAAAGGAGAAAAAAAACACCCATTAAAATTGTCAAGAGAGTATGAAAAGATAATCAATAATATTATTTTTTTTTTAATTAAGTGGATGTTTGAACTTTCAACCTTTTTTTTATCAAGAATATATGTTCTTAACCAGTTGAACTATGCTCAGATTGATAATAATATTCTTTCACACTTATCCTCTACCCAATAGAGATTTGATAACATAATTTTTGTGTTGAATTTGCAAAATAAATTGTCATTAATCCCAATATTTGAGACAACAAAGTCACTTAATAAGATATAAATATATTCGCCGCTCAACGGGTAAAGGCACATATGTACGATCAGAAGGTCATGAGTTCGAATCCCCACCCCACATGTTGTACTAAAAAAATAGATATAAAAATACATTCATTATATCCTCATGAGAGAGAGATTTCAAAGTGATCCTCATCAGGTCTCCCAATAAAGAAAAGCTAAGTGTTTAATAATCTCCAAAATAGAAGCTTATTGGGCAAATAATGCAAAGTTCTAAGAAGTGTATTTCAAGAGAGAGAGAGAGAGAGAGTTTGGAGGCCAATTTATGTGTTAGAAAAATAGCTTTTTTAGTGTTTCTTCCATTCAATTCAAACTGTCATCTCTATGTCCACTTTCTTTTCTCTCAAATACTTTTTTTTTCTTCTTCTTTTTGAAAACATTTACTTGTTTTCATTTGCAAGAGAAAGCCATCCTCTCTTCACAAAGTACACACACAAACAGGCCCCTACATGCTAACACCACAAACCAAAATGGAGCTTGGCCTAGAAATTTAAGTGACAAGACCTTCACATGTGGATGCACACCAAAAACATTCTTCCCCTAGCTATGTGTTTTTTCCTCTATCTCTCTCTCTCTCGGTTTTTGAGTTAAATTGCTCGGAGTTTGTTCGTTGAGCCCTGTTGCTGATATATCTGTCGAAAACGTCAAACAAAAGTCAACCAATCACGAATTACTATAAATGGAAGGTTGTCCAACCCCAATCAACAACGGGGGCGACAGGGTAACATTCATCCTAGTATAAGGACTTTGGCATATTCTTCTCATCATGCATCCCTAGAGAGCGGCCACTTTTCATGGTGGATCAGGACGAGAATGAATTCAGGAATCCTAGACTATAACTCATTATTAAAGATCAATTCTGAATATCCTGAACCTGATGGATCTTTCCTTGTTCTGTAAATATTATTACATTCATCTCAACACTGCTTCGAGATTATGACCTGTTTGATAACTATTTTGGTTTTTTAATTAACTTTCACTGGGAAAACAATCGTTTGAGTCTTGTTTACTCTATTAATGATATTAACGATAGAAACTAAAAAAAATCGTAATCAAAAGCTAGTTCATGAGTGTAATTGGAACTTCCAAAAATTTAGAAACTAAACAAGATAAAATGCTTTAAAGTACATTGAACTTTTTTTTACTCTTTCGGTTTGTTTTTACAGCTGGGTTGAAGATATTCTTCCATCCTGAATTGATAGTAACGACATCAAGTGCGTAATAACTTCAACCTATACAAATGGAAAAGATCTTAAAAACTATTCTAACTTGACAACAAAAACAAAAAAGCTAACTTTTTCAAAAGAACTCCCAAACAATTTAAATATTCTCCTACCCTTCTTCTTTTGAGATGGTGAGTTTGAAAGATAAGTGTACACACATGAAGGTTATGAAAAGAAGTAGCCATTTTCATCAAACTCAACCACCATCATGGGCCAGTCTCCAACTTTCATACCAAGGGAATAATATTGGCTATTGGGGCAACTGAAATTGAAACTAGAATCAATGCCATCCAATCAAAGAATGGAATCAATTTTACCAAACCCAAACATACCCTCGTGAAAATCCTTTGCCTAAGACATCCTCCTCTTTCCAATCTTTCTTTATCCTCCTTTTCTTGGGCCACTACCCCTTGTGCTGATCACATGTCTTGGGCCCCACCCCTTCACACTCCTCTCTCTCTCTCTTAACCTCCATTAGAGAGGTTTGACAATGAACCCATCTACTTTTCAAAACCACACAAAAGATAATGAATTGTCACATGTAGTAATTCAGCTCCTGGTACTTTCAAATTAAATTACAAGTTTAGTCCTCAACTTAAATTGTGTCAGATAGGTCATGAAGTTTAGAAGATGCTAACTAAACCTTTATTTTTATATCTAATAGATACCTGAATTTACATTTTTGTGTCTCGCATGTCTGTTAACTTTTTCAAATGTCAAATAGGCCATTGAAAAGGTGTTAAAGGATATATTTGACACTTTTAAAATTCAGAGACCTGTTGAAGATAAAATTGAAAGTTTAGAGATTTATTACACTTTTTAAAGTTAAATGAACTAAACTTGTAATTTAACCTTGCTCGTATATATCGTTCATCTTTCCCTTTCAAACGCTTCTTCTTCTGCACCCAAAAACAACTTTTGGCACTCACTGAATGAAAGAAAACATGTATCAAATTCTAGATGCAGTTGAATGCAATTCACTAAGTGGTCCTGCTTATTTCCTTTGGGGAAAATATGACACCAAACAGTCCCTTGACTGTGTTTGAATATCTTTTGAAAAATTATAATCTGAATGATTAAATGTACCTCTAACTTAAACAACTTCAGTCTATTACAAACTATTCGAAATGACATTCAATGAAAAGGTTTTACAATAGTCGTAAGAAATCGACCTATGGAGATTTGTTTGTACATTCATTATTTTTTCTCTCCTTTCAAAAATGTCCATTTGTCAACACTCGACACACATATCATGCTTGTTCTGTTTACTTTTTCTAATACCTGTTGAGGTTTAAGCTAGTTCACGTGCATCTTCGTGAATCTCTCCAAGACAATTATTTGACCTTACAAAAAACAAAAAGACAACAGAAACCTCCTAAGATCATTTCAGCCAAAATCCAAACATTCTTACCTAGAGTATAATCTAGATTGTGCTTACCCTTCCGAAATTTTGATGGTTGTGTCATTCTAAGATGATCAAATATATAACTAAGTTAGTTCACGTGCACCTTTACATATCTCAAGAGACAATTATCTAACCTCACCCGAAAATATCGTCAAAAACCTCAAAAGATGATTTCGGCTAAAATCCGAATCTATGTAGAGTATAATCCATATTGTGCTTACCATTTTTGAAATAAGATGATCATATGCATTGCTAGGCTAATGAATCATGTAAAGAGTTGATGTAAATATACTTGGAAGAAGAAAAAACAGTATATAGGTCGTTGGTAAGAGGAGTCAAAGCACAATATACACTGTTCTGTAGAAACAACTGCAGTGGGACCCAGCAATCTGACTCCACAGACACTCAGCTTGAAGAAGCATGAAACTTAGTAGGGGCCAGCCCGCCATTCACTCTGGAATACTGGAATTGAATTCAGATTGTACAATATAATGATATATGTTATATAGCAAACAAACAGTAAAATTCAGCCAATTACAGTAGTTTTGCAGTCGCATTCAGTGTGTAAAAAAGACAAACAGTGGAATTTGGTATTGGGAGAAACATAGAATCTTTGCTTCATGTAGTAAGTTAAGTGACCAGCACCACCTCCATCTTCCTCAATTAATGGCCAAGGTGAATTTTGTTTCAAGAGACTTTGTTTTGAGAACTGTTTTTGAGAAAAATAAAAAAAGATATAATATATATACATATATATATATATGGTTCTATTTTGGGCAGTTCCTTTTCCACTTACAACTTTTCATTGTGACATTTTTTATCCCTCCTCAGTTTTATTAACCTCAAAAAAGGCGAGCTAAAAGGAGTAGCTAAGCTAGCTTGCCCAAAGTCACCACTAACTTTGTGTTTGACTATGCCGCCCAAAAACTTCTTTAAATTCTCTTTCATTCCACTCGATCCCTAGAGCTCTCTTCTGCACCTCTCCTTTTGCTTTGCCTCACAAAGAACAGCAAAGTGAAGCTCTCTCTCTCTCTCTCTCTCTCTCTCTCTCTCTCTCTCAAAGCATACTCTCAGAGAAAGATGGGTTCACCACCTTCTGGCTTCATCAAACAGAGCATTATTTTCCTCAAGTTACACATAATTCTATACATCAGTTGCATACCTGACAGCACGAACCGCCTTTTCGCAGCCCCAACGACTGCTCCTCATTTTTTTCCCTCTGATATATCAACCTACGCACTCCAAACGCTGGAATTGGATGGATACCTCAGCTTTGACAATAATCACCAAGCAGCAACAGATTTCGGAAACAGATTCTATTTGCTCCCATTAGCAGTCTTACATCCGAAATCCGTCTCCGATATTTCGAACACAATAAACCATGTTTTCAGAATGGGATACGCTTCGGACTTGACGGTCGCTGCTAGAGGCCATGGCCATTCAATCCAAGGCCAAGCTCAAGCATATAATGGTGTAGTTATCAGCATGGAATCATTCAAGGGGCCAGAGATGAAAATAAATGCAGGGGAATTACCTTATGTGGATGTCTCGGCTGGAGAGCTATGGATAAATATCCTGCATGAAACTCTTAAACAAGGGCTGGCACCAAAATCTTGGACAGATTACCTGCATCTTACTGTTGGAGGCACCTTGTCAAATGCTGGCATTAGTGGGCAGGCTTTCAGACATGGACCCCAGATCAGCAACGTTTATCAGCTGGAGGTTGTCACAGGTACCTTCAAACTGTTCATCTTATTCCTTCTACCAAAAGATCTTTCTATTTTACCCTTTTTTTACCAGTACAGTGTAGCCTGATATCACAACATATCACGTAACATCACTTGTCATTTCACAAAGAAGCAACTTTCTTCCTTTTTTTAATTTCTGGTAATATATTCTAGTTTAAAATGACAATAGTGCCCATACTCCTCTGTACACTGTTCTAGTTTCTCTCTACTCACTGATCATTATAACAAGTTCAGACTATTGCTGCAACTAAATGAATTTAAGTATGGAGATCTTTTTGCTTTTAAGATGTTTTGGAAAAACATAAAAGCTGCAAAGCCTGATATCTGAATTTTATGCAGGAAAAGGAGAAGTGGTTACCTGTTCAGAGAATCTGAATGCAGACCTTTTCTATGCTGTTCTTGGCGGGCTCGGCCAGTTTGGCATCATAACAAGGGCCAGAATTTCTCTGGAAAAGGCACCGAAAATGGTAAGGGCATATTCCATTTCATTACAGCGAGGTACAAAAATTTTCCAATGATACTTCGTTTGAAATACAGTCCATCACTTTTGACAGGTAAAATGGATAAGAGTGCTGTACTCAGACTTCTCCACATTTACAAGAGACCAAGAGTATCTAATATCATCCAATGATAAATTTGATTATATTGAAGGATTTGTATTTATTAATCGAACTGGTCTCCTCAATAACTGGAGATCCTCCTTTAATCCCAAAGAACCACTGCAAGCCAGCAAATTCAATTCGGATGGGAAAATTTTCTACTGCTTGGAAATAGCAAAATACTTCAACCCAGAAGAAAGTGACTTTATGAACAAGGTGAGGAGTCATCAGAAGTCATGCCATCTAAAAAACAAAAACAACCCAGTAAAATACCGCTTGCTAACTTCTCGTTCTTCTAATGCAGAAAGTTGATAGCTTGTTGGCAGGATTGAGCTATATTCCATCCACCCTCTTCACATCAGAAGTTACTTACCTGGATTTCCTGGATCGGGTACACGTCTCTGAGAACAAGCTACGTGCAAAAGGTTTATGGGAGATTCCTCACCCATGGCTAAATCTACTGATCCCCAAAAGCCAAATACATGATTTTGCTCAAATGGTCTTTGGTAACATGCTCAAGGATACAAGCAATGGTCCCATCATAATCTACCCCGTCGACAAATCCAAGTAATTATTTCATAATTTACTCATTACCCCATATAATAAAACTTGCTTTTTATCATGTCCCCAGATCTCATTCTTCATTAATTTTCATTGGTTCAGGTGGAACAATAAAACATCTTTGGTCACTCCAGATGAAGATATTTTCTACTTAGTGGCATTCTTATCTTCTGCAGTTCCATCTTCCATAGGAACAGATGGCTTAGAACACATTTTATTACAAAATGAAAGAATTTTGGATTACTGTATTGAGTACCTTCCTGGTGTTAAGCAATACCTCCCCCACTACACCACCCAAGAAGAATGGAGATCTCACTTCGGGCCCAAGTGGCAGATTATGTTACAGAGGAAATCTACCTATGATCCTTTGGCAATTCTTGCTCCTGGCCAGAGGATATTCCAAAAGGGTATCCCCTTCTTATGATAGTTGTATCTGCTGAATAAGCAACACATAACAAGTTCCTTGAAGAATGTGAAAGCTATGATGGCATAACTGTAAATTAATGAGGAATCACATTATGTTGTTAGGAAATCTCATCAATTATCAGATAAAATAGAAAACCCAAATATCATATTGACTCAGAAACTTCAAAACACTGCCCTGTTACATGTCCCTAATAATATAACTGGGACAGTCATCTTTTAGCCATTCCTCATGTATTCATCTGTACATAGGCATGTATTTAGATGCAACATGTACCATTGAGCAGTTAAGTACAAAGATGTCTGAGGTTTGATAAAAAGACCCTGCTTATATATGCATTGATGTAAAGTTTACATATGTATGATTCAGAGGTATCACCACTCCAAAAAAGTCCAAATTAATTTACAAATTTTGCCTTCTCCTCTTCACCAAACTACCTAAATCATAGCCCTGGTTGAATGAAGCTGATTTTTGGAAAGAAAAAGAAAAACTATCCCTCTAAAATCTTGGATTCATGACGATATTCAGTTTTAATCTGGGCATTAAGGAGAGCGCCTAATCTACAAGCACGGGATCAGAAAACTCTGTACTATCCAAATATTGGCATCTCATTACTAACTATCGTCTTCTCACACACCAAACACAAGATTCTTCATTCTCAAGCATTTCAAATTCACCCCAAACACAATCACCACATTCCAAACAAACTCAGGTTCAAATTCATAGCTCCTACTTTTCTGATTCACGACCCATAAGATCATCAATCGGCCACAATTATAACTGAACATATTAAATATGGACGCACAAGTAATCTATCGTAAAGGGGGGGAATGGGAAATCTAGAGGATCATCGTCAGCTCTGGAGAAAATGAAGCCCCGTAATGTTAAGTTTTCAAATGAAAAAGTTGAGCCTACGAGATGATCGAGGAGCATAATTAGCAAATATTTTGGTCCTAAAATGGAATTCGCAATCATACCCAATTCAAGATCCGATTAAACATTAATGAAACTGTAGATTGTTTGTTGGCAGAGAGTCAAAATTCAATGGCATTATGGAAAATCATTAATATTCTTATGGTGGTGGACGAAAATATTAGGGTACCTTCTGTGGGCTTGCAGGAGAGGAAGCCGTAGAGTGATTAGACTCGCCATGGAAATCATCAAATGAAAACTCGTGTGATTTGAAATAAAGAGAGCTAATTTTCGTTAAATTTCAAAATTACTTTTGATAAAACAATATTATTTCAGGTTATAAATTTATTTTATTTCTGTTAAAATTAGAACAGGTTACATATATTATACTATAAATTATATAATATTATAAAATAATAATTATACAAAATTTATAATAAAAATATTAATAAACTAATTGTTCAACGTAAGAGAAAACTCAAATGGGTGAACTTGAGGATGCGTCGCTAGATGACTCTGCTTGAATCTCCACTCCTTCGGGATCTTTCCTCCTCCAAAATGACGAGTGACATCCTCTATTTATAGAGTCTTTGGTTGGTCGGGTCATAGGCTTGGGTCCAGTCTCTTTATGGGTTTTGATCCAATTAATTAATTTCATCGGACGGCCATAAAAGAGACACGTGGCACAATTTAATTTGTCGATTTAAAATTAATTTATGACACGTGTAATTTTATGATTGGTCCAAAATATAATTTTAAATTATGATATGGCACCTAGTTGTCAAAATTTCTCATCCAACACTAATTAATATTGGTTTTTTTCTTTTTGCAAAAGAAAATTAATATTGTTTTAGATTCAACTAAATAACCACGAGTTTACARACAATTAAAATTGCGTATATTCGAAAACAATTAAAATAAAAAATAAACCATGTTTTTCATGAAATTTTTTATTTTCAAATATATAGTTTTCAGGTATTAAAAAAAATAATTTATAATTGTCAGACTGCGAACCAAAAATCCCATGTAAACTTCTAGAGAAATTTATGGGGAGTGAGGTTATTAAACCTAAAATTGTTTAATTTAGGGAGTAAATATTCTTCTCGTCAATTCTATAATTAAAATTTTAAATTATTCTATTTTATGAATATCTCATAATTTTTTTAACCGTGGTTAAATTAGATACAACAATTTAGATATATAATAATAATAACATTACTTTAAGCATAACCATTATATTAAAAAAATGGTTAATGATAGAATCCTAAAACACTTTTCATAAAAAAAATCCAACCACCAAAATGAATTGGTGAAAAGTTAAAAAGAAATCAATATTTATTTTAATTTTGGTCACTGGAATATTTAAATATTTATTTTAATTCCCTCAAAAATACCATTTTTGGACTTTACTATTATTTTCTCACTTAATATCTCTCTCAATCTATTTGTCTAAATTAACTTAGGCAGCTCTCCCTCTTAAAACTAAGTTATCCGCTTAATCTAAATAAATATAAAGAATTAGAAACTAATACTCTTTGAAATTTAGGGATTAAAAGAATTAGAAACGAATATTCTTTAAAATTTAGGGATTAAAATAGATCTTATGATAGTGAAAGTTTAATGACGAAAATTAAAAAAATCTTAAAAAATTTAGTAACGACGGTTAAAATTTTGAGAGCTTAACTTATAATTTAAGAATTTAAATTTTCCATTTGATTTTGGGGACAAGGACAATAATTTAGCTTCATACTCTCATCTCCAATCTCATTTCCAAATTTGAAAGTTACGTTGATAGACGTCCCCATCATTCAATTGTACATCACTACTGGTATTCGATAAAATGTAGAAAGGATGTGAATATTAAAAATATTCAATATATAGTTTCACTGGACCAGAGATCCATAGTCATACATAATATGATTGGGATGCCATAAAATATTTGGGACCTAAATAATTTTTTTTAGTATAACGAATGTGTGAATGAGAAGTTGAATCTTCGCTATTTAGAAAATGAACAAGATACTTTTAACTGTTTAGCTATGCTCATATTGAACTAAGAACTAAATACTTGTCACCATAATGAAATGTTTCACCCATTTAAAAACTTAATTACTACTATTTTTTTCTTCATAAAATCTATTATAATACACATAGATTGCGTGAGTAAAAATATTTTTTAAACATGTTATACAATATTGGAAAACATGAGTAAATACGAGCATAATTCATACAATCAAAATTAAATAAACATCACGTTGATACTGGATTTTGGATGAGCCAATATTCGCAACTAGCTTCTTCTGGTCGAGATATACGGAACTAACTATGTAAAAATACTTGCACGTAATAAGTAAATACTATAAAGCTCAATTCAGTCTAAAGCTTGAGCTAAATAGGTCAATTCTAGATAGAATCGCATACCTCAATATAGGAGTAAGTGCATATTTATAATAGTCGGGAGAAAGACTGTTCTATTATAATTGTTACAAAGGTTGTTACACGATTGTGACTGGTTTCACTATGTAGCTGGATCTTCATGCTTGGAGAAGCGTTTCGAGGTAGCATGAACTATATAGATTTGTTTGTTTCACCAACTAGTCCATTTGTCAAGTGTCGAGTCATTAATCTTGGTGTTGGTAAGTATGATGTTGAGGAAAGAATGAACAAAGTACGATTTGTCCTTTTTTATTTGGTCCACGTGGTAGGCTAAATTTACCTTCCAACACAGCACTCTTAATCCAAAACTTCCAAAGAAGTGAGACACATATCTTAATAGTAAACTTTAAAATATAACTTCGATTGACCTAAAATAATTGAAAAAATATTAAAGATTGTTATTAGTCGTTTAAATTTTAATCGATGAWGAAAAGTGGAAAACAAAAATATAAAAACAAAATTGTATTTTATGTTTTCAATATTTTCGAATATACAATTAATAACGTATTTAGAAATTAAATCTCATCTTACAAAATTGTTCGATATATATTTAATAATATCTTTATTTCAATCTAAAAATATTTATTAACCTATATATTATAAATTTTGTATAATAATTATTTTTATTATATAATTTATAATATATTATATTTTAGTTGTTTTAATTCTGAACAAGTGAAATGGATTTCTAACTATTTTTTAATTATATATTTTAAAGTTTCAAATTCAAGATTGAAAAACACTAAAAAGATATAACGGTGTTTTGATAATTTTATTCTAAAAATAGATTTTACAAATAACTTTGACGAATAATATTAACTGAATCTATTTAATTCGATAAATGTAAAAACGACTAATTTTTCTTTCTTTTATATTTTTTTAGTACAATATGTGAGGATGAAGATCGAACTCACAATCTTGATTGGAGATATGCTGTTTAACTATGCTCGATTAGATTATTCTTTTTTATAAAAAAATATCTTTGAAAAAATAATAATAATAAAAGGGAAGTAGCCGTTTAGTCGATACCTTCTCCAAAGTCCAAAACTTTGAACTTTTTTCATTTTTGTTTCTCGATTTCACGTGTCCAAATTTCACTTCTCTTACTGAATTGAAGAAATCCGCGAGTTTTCTGTAAGCTTTCATCAGATTTTTCAAGGTCCCTCTCCCTCTGTTCATCAATTTTCTTCCGGGTGAATCATAAACCCTAAACCACGCGATCCCAATTCTATTCAGATTGATATACAAACCCCCACCAGGTTTAAACCCTAATTTTGATCTTAAATCTTCGCTTTCTTTTCATCAAGGGTCACATTTCTTTCCGTTAATGTCGCCTGCGGCGGTGGAACTACGATCGTCGGTGATATCTCCACCATCTGAATGCCCATCAGCCGCGCCCCAAAACCCTGAGCTTAAACCCCAGCGATTCGATTCATCGTTTAGTTTCCCGGCATTTTGTCCCGGCGATATACAGGGTGGCCAGCAGGGAGTGAGCTCCTTCAGTTGTAGTGATCCGAGTGGACCTGGTTTGAAGTCCGCTTCGAATTCTCATCCAGTGGCTCGATCGCGGCCTAGGCTTGCGAAGGTCAGGAAACGGGTGGCGGCGCAGCATGCGAGGTCGAAAGTTGGTCCTTGCGAGGTTAGTTCGAGTTTGGGAAACAGCGGTTGTTCGAATGATGGGTTTGTGTTTTCAGGCGATGCTTCGAAGTCTGACGGCAGTTTTGTTTTCGGAGCGAATCGGAATGGCGATTCGAATTCTGGGGAGAGAGTGTCCACCAACAATGTGCGTAAGGAATCGGATTCTGGGAAGCTTGAGAATGAAGTGTTCGTGTTTGGTTCTAAACTGAGCCATCGGGCATCGAGTTCAGGTAACGAATGCGAACAGTCTTATGCAAATTGTGAGAACCTTGTAGCGGATGATGGGGTGAAAACGAAAGCATCGTGGAAGAGGGAAAACTTGATAAATGTTGAGAAGCTCCACTCCGGCGGTGGTAGATTGAAAATGGATTCTGTAACAACTGATGCCACGAATAACAGCAATGAAGAGTCTGTACCGGTTGCTAACACGATTGATCTGTCATCCACAGTTAACGCAAAAGAGGGAGAACTTGGTAAATCTGTGGGGAAGGCAGGTACTGATTGTTGCAGCAATCTTAAAACTGGAAACGATGATTATTTAAAGAAATCTTTTGATTCAAAGTTTGTTTTTGGTAACAGTTGGTTTAATGAATCAACTAATGTAGGAAGACCTGTTTTTGATTTTGGAGTCAAGATGAAAGCAGAAAGCATAGCAGAGTTTCAGAAAGCGGAAGCTAGTAATGTTAACTTTAGCTGTGAAGAGGGTAGGACACTCAAGGAGCATCTTGGTAGAGATGCATTTGTATTTGGAAGTTCCAGCTTAAATGAAGTGATGGAAGGGAGGGGTCTGAATGAGAGGAATTTGAACAGTATAGATGTAAGAGATAGTGCCAGCAGCAACGTGACTGCTGGTAATTTGGAATCTGATACTAACATGAATCGAGGTTCTACAGAAAGCAACAATATTAGCGAGAGTGTTTCAAGGCCTAAGACAATATTCACACTCCCTGATGAGATGAAGAATCTGAACATCAATGATTCTGGGAATATGAATGGATATGAAAAACCTGAGTGTTCAAATACTACATTTACTGAGACCTTTTCTAGCTTTAAGGGTTTTGAAAAGCCATCTGACTTTTCTAATGGATGTCTTGGAAAAACTAACTTCCACTGTTCAGAAGGTCTGGCAGGTTTTATTAATAGTACCTTTGAGGATGATCCTGAAAGTAGTGGTAAGAACAAACCTGAATTTCAAAGTGGTTTTGAATTTTCTTCTCATTTTATGGGGGGGTGCTCTAGCTCTGAGCCATTTAGTTTTCTGTCAGGATGCTCTGTGAGCTGTGATGGGTGCCAGTTTCCTCAACCCTGTGTAAATGATACTATGCAACCAAAGAAGGCCACAACAACATCATCATTCTCATCAGCTAGTTTTCAATGTCAATCCAATGACAACCCATATGGAGTTCCTATGGCCAAAGGTGGGAAGAATGATAAAGATGGTCCTTTAGACACCTCAAATAATTTAAGTTCTTCAACAGAATTTAGAATTCCACAGTGGGATCCTTCATCTTTCAAAGAAAATTTGTTTTCAGATCTCAATCGAAATTCAGCATCTAGTATTAAGAATAAACTGAACAAAACTAAGAAAAAGAAAACAAGGGGAAATCTGAGGCAAACTAACAGGCAAGATAAAGTATCAAAGGACGATGAAAGTTCTCAAATTAATTTAGACTCTCCTGGATCTTGCACACCTATGGATTTCTCCCCCTATCAGGAAACTATATCTGTAGATAAATATTCAAGAGATATGCCAGGTGAATCCTCCCACCTGGTCAATAATTCAGCACCTTGGACGCCAAATTCTACAGCTTGTACCAATGAAAATGATGAAGTTCTTTTAACTGGAAGAAAAGTAACAGATGAATATAATGGTACCTGGAAATGTAGTGAGCCAAATGAGGAAAGTATTGGGCACCGTGGAGATGGAATTTATGTTCACAGTTTTGAAGGTTTTGATTCTAGGAATGAGACAGTTCGCTCTAATCCCATAACCGAGCAATCCTGCATGAGTGGTTTTGCCAAGGGGGCTTCTATAGAACCGATAGTTACTTTAAACTTGACCTCAGACACACTAGAAAGCAATTGCGGAAAGCCGTCAGGTTTAGAAGATACATGGGACAAAAGTTTTACATTTGCTGCATCTTCTGCCATCCAAACTAATTTATCAGCAACGAAGAGTCGGCACAGAAAGAAAAATAGGAAGAAATCTGATCACAGTGTTTTTGTCATCTCCCCGAGTCCAGATATGAAGTTTGGATCATCTTTTGAGTTTTCATCCTTTGCTGGTTCGTCTTTGCATTCAGAGGCTGCAAGTAATTTGGAAGCAGAAGAAAAGTTCAAGCCAGGGCCTTCTTTCTCGACTGCGATTCAAGAGACATGTGAGAAGTGGCGACTCAGGTACTTTCCGGAGAGACCAGTTTTAGCATAGTTTTTCTCTCTGATTTCAATCACCTTTAATTCCATTTTATATTTATATCTGATGCCAAACAAATTTTGTTCTTTCACAATGTATTAGAGGAAACCAAGCTTACAAAAATGGGAATCTTTCAAAAGCTGAGGATCTCTACACGCAGGGGATAGATTCTGTTCCACCAAATGAAGGATCGGCGTCTTGCCTTAACTCTCTCATGCTTTGTTACAGTAATCGTGCAGCCACACGAATGTCACTTGGAAAGATTAGGGAAGCTTTGGGAGATTGTGAGGTGGCTAGCAAACTAGATCCGAACTTTATCAAAGTTCTAGTGAGGGCTGCAAAGTAAGGGTTTCATTGTGAACTTTGAGGTTGTATTTATGGATTTATTCTAACGATTTATGCAGAATGAGCTACCTATGATTGTATATTTTGTCTTGTATGTTTTTTTTTCTTCTGAAGTATACAAGCAATGTCAACTTTTCCAAAGTACACAGTTCCATTGCATTCTTCAGTTAATAAGTGTGGATCCGCTTGTACTAGCATGTCTTCTCGTGGTCTTTAACCATCTTGAGGTTACAGACTGGTCTTTGTCTTTTGGAATTAATGCCAATGGAAAATAATCATCTCTACAAACTTTACTTTGAAGTTGCTCTAATATACTTACTGTTTTTATTTAGATATATTTCTTTGGGACATTTGCAAAGATAAAATTCTTCCCCATTAAATCATGTGAAATACACTTAATAGTTAACTATGACTAAGTAATCTTATCAATGACTACTGATACCATTCTTTGTTTATTTGTCAATATAATCTGCATTTACTTTTTAATTAATACTCATTTGTATAATTTTTTATGTTCTAAAGATTTTTCCTCCCTTCCCAGTTGTCATCTTCTTCTAGGGGAAATTGAAAATGCATTACAGTATTTCAAAAAGTGCTTAGAATCTAGAGATGGGATATGTTTAGATCGGCGGATGATAATTGAAGCTGCTGATGGCCTCCAAAAGGCTCAGGTGCGTACTACGTTCTTTCTATTTCACTTTAGGGGCACTGGGATTAGTAGATATCTTCTTGTTTTCTCATTACATTTAGTGTGCACCAAATTTACTAGTGATTGAAGGTTCCATATGGATGATTACATTTCTATGGCTCACGTCAATCAAAGAAAGGCGGGAAAATATTGATGAGAGAGAAGTTGGGGATATGTTTCCTTTAGTTTGAATATTTCATATTTTCTTGATTACTTACTAATATTAGTTCTGGAATCATGAGTAAACAGCAAAAATGTAGACATCACTTCTACAATATTGCTGCCAGATTGATATAATTGTTATGTCTAGATTTAAAATTTTAAGGTGCTGTCTATATTCTTTGGGAAGATCCCACTACTAGGGCACTGAATCTGATCATTTTATCTTTGTTTCAACATATTTTTATAGGCAACCTTTCTATTTTTGCAGATTTCTGATTTGTGTTATTGGCATCGTACATTTTGTATCTTAGTGGTTACTGGGGTGGGTCCGTATGCATACTTCTTTTTTTTTTGGACGTATAAAGTGACAGTTAACAAAATACAAAAATGACCCTAGTCCAACTTGACAAACACATTACACGATTTTAGGACAAAATTGGCTAGGCTAGTATCTTCCTACATCAGTATGGATAGTGGATATAGAGTTTCTCTTCTCATCCTTGTAATCTTTTCTTTCTCGATCTGCTCGTGTTCATATGAAGAGAGTTCTCAACTGTATTCTGATGATTGTTTATGTACTTTTCCCTGCAGAAAGTAGCAGAATGTGCAAGGCTTTCTTCTGAACTTATAGAACAGAAAACTGACAATGCAGCTCTCAGTGCCCTAGACTTGATTGCTGAGGCTGTATCCATCAGTCTGTATTCAGAAAAATTACTTGAAATGAAAGCTGAAGCTCTCTTTATGGTCCGTATCATTTCAACTTAGTTTTTATGTACAATTCAGTATGATCTTTTCCCTTTTGAAAATTTATCACTATTTATGTAATGGATGGTTCCAACTTCTGCCTTTACTTCACAACAGTGGTCCTTTTATCTCGTGATTGTTTATATTTTTCATGGGATCTTCTCTTGCAGCTGCAAAGGTATGAAGATGCAATTAAGTTGTGTGAGCAGAGTCTTTGTTTTGCGGAGAAAAATTGTATTGCAGAAAGTGATATTGTCAAAACAGATGCTTCTGGATTTCAAAGTCATTCTTTCGTTAGATTGTGGAGATGGTGCTTGATAACCAAAGCCCTTTTCTATCTTGGAAAATTTGAGGCTGCTCTTGATACAGTTGGGAAACTTGAGCAAGAGAAGTTTAATGAACAAAAGTGAGAACGGGATATAACCTTCCTGGGTACTTCTAAAATCAATTAGGACCTTCCTTTTATTTGTTTGATCTTGGTGCTAATATTTATCATGCAGGTCTAGAATTAAAAGTTTGGAATCATCATACACATTAGCGAACACAATGCGTGAGCTCCTGCGTTGTAAGGTATGCCATGAAGTGTTTACAATTATTTTCTCATTTGACACCGTGGATTCTATTCTATTTCTTTTTTAGTTTCACTTTTGGCAGTGCCATGCATATTTTGACGTATATTGAGCACTATTAAATTCACGGCGTGAATTGAACTGTATTTACTAAACCAATCTTGAGATATTTTTTCTTGGGATTTCCGAATGGAGCTACAGAAATGTGATACAATACCCTCACTAGGAACTTGGGCTTATAGAGCTCTAGACTTGGCTAAGCTAAGCATGCCCTTTACATGATCCAAACTGGCTATGTATCTTGTAGGAGTAAAATTTAATTCTGAAGATGAGTCCATGGAGGTGTTGATGACCAATGAGGTTCAATACTTCCATTTTTCCACCCTTTCAAGAGGCTGAACTGTTGGGGGGAGTGATAGGGGGATTCACTAGACACTGAAAGCATTTGATATTGAATAATCAGACACTTCAAAATTTAACCAGAGCGCATAATTCTTTGATGTTGCTGTATCTTCGTGATTTGTTGTCTGTGTTGTGTTTGCATGGGCTTATTTGTTGAAATCCTCCACTTGATGCACACGTGGTTTTAAATAACAGAGTGCAGGGAATGAAGCATTTCGATCAGGGAAATATACTGAAGCAGTGGAGCATTATACAGTTGCATTATCTATTAATGTTCAGTCTAGATCTTTCACTGCAATTTGTTTATGTAACCGTGCTGCAGCATACCAAGCTTTGGGTCAGATTGCTGATGCTATAGCAGACTGTAATCTGGCCATTGCACTTGATGGAAATTATTCAAAGGTATGGCTTTTATGAACTTGCATGCTGGTGGAATATGCATTGTATTGAGGAGGAGGTTGATTGTTGAATTTAAATTGTTTCTTGTTTCTTGTGTGGACATGCAGATATGAACTTTCAACATGATTTGATAGTAAAATGTTAAGATAACCCTCTTTTGATTT